AGGGAGGGAGGGAGGGAGGGAGCGAGGGATGGAGGGCTACCTAGCTGCTTGTTTGCTAGCTTCTGTCTGTGCGTCTATCCTGTCTCGATTATCTCCGACCACTCATGCACCCTCAGAACTTGGAAGTCGCAGACCGATCTTCATGAAATGTGGCACATCGACAGCACCACCCGGATTTGCACCCCACTTAAACTCGTGCCCGCACGTCTGCCTATCCTGGACGGAACTTCGCGCGCGCAATTTCGAAATCTGACACGTGCATGGGCGAGGCCTCTTTGATGCATCATCGGCCTGGGTGCGGAACCGGCACAGCAGCTTTTTCCAAGGGTTGCACCCGCAGCCACAGTGATAGTACCGGGATCTGCGACCGCAACAGCGTCAGTCACAGCTCCGAGTGCAAACGAGGTGTGGAACAAGTTGCTCGATAAAGTGTTGGCAGTCTTTCGCAAAAACTAAAGCAGCTGTTTACTGTGAGTTTCTGCAACCCTAACCACCAGTAGCCACCCAGTCAACGAGCAATCTAGAAACACCAGACAAATAGATTCCGCCAAGCCCCGCATTGCACCATGGCATCCCAAGCCCAAGGGAAACTTGGCTTCCCTTTTCGACGCTTTTTCTCCCACTCGCGACCTATTGTCGACAGAGCGTGAAAGACTCCTGGTTCAAACAACCAGGGAAGTGATTCGTGCGGTGACGTCTCTCTCTGCTTTGTCGGTCCACTGGTCCTCAGAACAGATGCAAGTGCAATGGCTGGGGTAGAAGTTCAACGGCAGCTGACACACCTGCTGCGAGAGGACGTGAGGCCTTCCCTGCAACACTGGTCACGATGATGAGACAGAAATCTCTCCAGTCCCTAACGCGGATATGCTTCCCAGATCCTCTACGTCCCCTTATAAGCAGAGTCTCGGCTCCCATGCCCCAAGCACCCCTATGCCGCCGTATTTTGTGTGCCGGGGCTCAACTGCCTGGTCGAAGGCGTCGTCGTCCATGGCCGCAAGCTCTGAGTCACCTCGGTGAGGCTTGGGCTTGGGCTCACTCCATGTGGTCGGAGGTTGGTGCAGGAGTGACTCCCATGCCTCAAGTCTGAGGCCGAATGGCTTGGAAGGAGGGGTGTGAAAGCTTTGCCCGAAAGGAGACGATCCAGCAAGCCTTGGCTGCTAGCTACCGGCAAGGAAGAAGCCCACGAGAGGTCGTCGGCACAATAATTCGGGCAAGCAGCGGACCGCTGCTTGGGGACGGAACTGCGGCACCTTCCCAAGACGCGACGAGTGTGGAGCGTGGCTACTCCGACTCCGTGCGATGGCTGACTTGGGCTTGCGCCATGTGTCCACTGCCATGGACGGTGGCGAAGGAAAGGCCGTGCTCCTGGGAGGTCAGGTCGCAGGAAGCCGCATCTCAATGAGACCAGCGGCACAGGCCGGGGCGCGTAGTCCACCACGTGGCCGCCGAACTGGGGCCCGGCGGGCTGCAGCTCGAGGTTGGGGCCAAAGAGGTTGGGCTTCCTCACGAAGAACAGAGACCCAGAAAAGCTCTCTCCTCCTCTCCCAGCTGTGAAGAGAGGCTTGCCGCCCAGGAACTCTTTCAGAATTTCGATGTCCGCGGACGTCTTGTCGTAGAACCACGGACGGTAGTGACCTCGCGCTATGGATTGCGGCAGAGGGACAGCGGGGGCAGGGACAAGGTGAGGGCGGGACCGCCGGAAACCACTGCATAGCCGACTTTCTCGATGGCAGTGCGGGTGCCCTCATAGGAGACGCAGGGGTCAGTGTCGCCATTGAAAACCTTGGCTGCCGGGCAAATCGAGAGCCACCTGAAACCCAAGAACTCGCAAAATCCCGATGTCATCCGCAACTTGCGAAGTCGAGGCTAGGCGGGGCTGGGCTATGACGGAGGAACGATGGTCGTCCTCAGCTTTGGAGCAATCATGCGGTAGAAATCGATCATGCTCGGCTTGCCCGGAGCATCGTTGCAGGCGTTGTAGCCTAGGTCAGAGGATGGGATGGTCCGGCAGAGGTCATACTTTCAGGCTTTCAGGATGGGCCGTCCACCGAGACACTGCTGGTGTACTGCCAGCCATCCGGCGGACCTGGCCAGGAGGTCGCGGGGGAGCTCTCCACATGCAGAGCCGCTTTCACCTCAGCCACAGGACTGGATGCAACCATGCCAGAGCTTTCGCTGTTCTCGCTGAGCTGCATCCGCCCGCATCATCCACTGCGCCGTGTAGTAGTTCAAGGTGCCTGGCAGAGACCAGTCCAGGGCCGAAGCGTCCGAAAAGAGGTTCAGCTCGTTGATGTAGGCCTGGGACTTCTCAGAATTCGGTTTGTCTTCATGAAAAGATGAGAGACTTTCCGAAATTAGGGTACCGTATTTTGGGATCCTTATAATAAGGATCCTATTATTTAGGGTACTATATTAGGGTCCCCTATTTTGGGAAACCCCCATGAGAGAATGGAAGCGGCGGCCTTCTTCCAGCCCTGGGAAAGACCACGCGATGTGGTGGCCAAGAACTGTCGGTTCAGCAGCTTGCACTTCTCGTCCGATGCCTGTGCTGCTCCAGCCCCAGACGACTGAAGGCTCGCACCCTGCCCTTCTCGAACATGCGAGCAGGAGACAGACAGACACGCAGGCAGGCAGGCAGGCAGGCAGATTGACAGAGAGACAGGGGGACAGAGAGAGAGAGAGAGAGACAGGGTCGAGAGAGAGAGGGAGAGAGGAGCACGAGAGCGCTGCTTCGGAAAGCCCTCGTGGTGGCCGCGTGGCCAAGGCCAAGCTGGGCGTGATCTTGGCTTCCCAGCGCCTTGTTGAAACACACACCACGAAAAACGGACAACCCGATCTTCTCGTGCCCTGAAGAGCGGTAACAGGAAAGCGGTACGAACAACAGCAGCAGAATACCCACCACCACCACCACCACCACCGGTCAGAAGCATGCTGTAGAATACACAGGGATCCCTACCCAAGGCCAGCGCCCTGCTGACCGGCGCCAGTGCCCGCGCGCAAGGAAGGATGGATGCCTCAAGGCACATCAGAAACAGACATTCAGCCGCAAGAGGTGAAACGAGCTCGGGCGTAGGGAAAGTAGGATGCAAACAGTTCCAGAAAACAGGGCGGAGCGGAGTCTTTATGGTGTTCGAACAAGTCTTTAACATGAGATGAAGGAAAAGGCTTGTTCATCGCATACACGACTTTGCGGTGCCAGACACAAGGAGGTCAAACCAGACTGCACAGTGCCTCGCTGAGCAGTTGTTCCAGAGGTAGTCGAAGTCACTGTCAGGAACGAAGCCGTGCTTGTGTGCATACCACAACCTGTGCAGGTTGAGGAGGGGTGCAAGCTCCGCAAAGCTGCGGATTTGTGTGCTCCGATGTTTGCTCAGGCACATGTCCATCGACTCTTTCTGCGATGGCAAGTCGGTGCAAGGATCACCGACAGCAACTCCTAAGTTGAGCAAGTATTCAAACTTCAGCAAACTCTGCAGCCAAGTCTGCCCAGCGCAGGGTGTGTTTTTGTGCCAAGCATCCTGTCCTTAGCTGGAGCATTAACAATTCCAGCATACGTTTTGCATACAGTATGCATGCTGCTTTCAACAACATTACAACTAAAAAATCTGGGCCGGGGCGTGCTGTTTCCAGGCCGGTGTGCCATGAAGCAGTCAAAGTCAAGCCCAGAATCATTTTGACTTCAGGCGCGTTCTCAAGAATCTCATGCGTCAGTGTTGGAATGTAGACCTCAGCTGGAGATCAACATCAGCTACCTGCACACGTGGATCGTGGATCGGGAGACGTCTCTTCTTTGTTGCGAGCAGGCTTGCGGTGGTCCGAACAAGCAAACTCGGTTGAGCATGATACCAGCCAAGGGACCCCCGCGTAGGATTCGCCTTTCAGCAACAATGTGATTCGGAATTCGTAGCAGCTTGCAGCTCTACTTTCCTTCTTGTTGCTGCAAGCTTTGCCGTGACATGCTGGGAAGAGGGCTTCTCATCATGCTCGTAATGTGTGCCTGTGATGAAGAACTCGTTGGCCTTCAGCTCTGGAAACCTTGCCGGAGGAGCACTGGAATTTGGGGTCTCCATCCGCACGGGAAGTGTCAGAACAGGTGGGAATGAGCGGAGGCTTGTTGGATCTGAAGCTGCAGCACTCCTGCCAAGAATCAACCAGAAGCTTGCTTTACTTATTACTGCTGCTGTGGCGCTTCTTGAAGAAGTCTTGCACCGCTGCACGATTCGCGCGGGCCGTGGAGATATCTGTATTGTTGCAGTTGCCGCCGGCCTGTCCAGAAAGGCTGGGGGCTGTTCTAAGCTCTCAGTTACAGGCCCGTTTGGGAACCGTGCTGTAGCAAGGGCACTACAATCCGACCAATTTGTGCATGCTGAGATCAAGGTGTGAGGTTGCAGGCATTGAAGGCGAGGACGGACGGTGGCTGATAACATGGGAACAGCACCTGAGCCGAATCACGGCTCCAGCCAGAGCCCTATAAGGCTCCAGCTGCTCAAGCGGAAGTCTTTGGTTTACCGAGGGAAACCGAGAGTTTCCAACGAAGCTTTGGTTCCAGAGTTTCTGCGCTTCTCTCGCAACCCAAAGCCTGCACGAAACAGTCGCAAGGCCTTCATGGCTGCACAATAGGAGTATCCAACACCTCCGGGACCTTGGGATCAGGAACGCGCGCCGATGCCCTGCTTCAACTCTGGAACCCACACAAGTGGAGCAACAAACGGCTCAACATCTCCATGTCTAGAGTCGTTGTATAAAAGATGCTCCAACTACAACACGAAATCCTGGTCTTGAGGATGCAGCTCTCCAGGATCAAGAGGTTGGCTTGCTTGGTCCAGGCATATGGGTTTCGCATGAGGCCACCGGTGGCATTGATGAGGAGGGGCCCGTTCTCCTGTGCGGGGGTCAGCAGTGTTCTGCATGGCAGATGGCCTGCCCTTGGAAACATCAATGCCAGCTGAAGATCTCCCATCCTCACAACTCCCCCAAGCTAAAGTCTAAACCTCTCCATATCTATCCGCTGCTTTTGGATATGCTTGCACCCTTCGTATGGTGCGGCCGGACAGTGCCTGCAACATGCCCAAGATCGAGCTGCTGCCAGGCCCGCCATTCCTGGAATGGAGCAGGGTTGGTGGCACCCTACCCAGGTTATGCTCGGTCAATTAATGGCGAGTTCTGGATGCGGGACAGGAGACTCCGCTGCTCAAAGGAACTGTACTTTCAATCCTGTCAAGATCCCTCCTTAACCGGTATTCTTACATCCTCAATCTGATTGATGCGTTTGCCTCGTGATGTGACTGACATGTCATGTCAGTCACCTCACAAAGCAACCACATGACACCGAGTTGGCCTCAACCCCAACTCGGAGCATGGCAAGGGACAGCCACAGCACCACAGGCAGGGAGGCTGCGTCTGCAGATTCTGCAGCAGCGAACCAGTAGTGGAGCTGGGTCCCCGGTTCCTGTTCCAACACATCACTGTCGAGTCTGTCGAGATCTCTTGCTAGATCCTTCCACAGGCATTTGCATTTGCAGCGGGAGCTTCAGGCATTGGATGGATTGACGATGACGACACCCGCACATCCCTCACAGACTCTTGCAGGACTCTTGCAACCTTAAGGCTCCACATCTCTTGCTGGTTGAGACTCGACAGCTCCGGCATCCAGAAAGCCGGAATACTGCGGCGCAGGTGGTGGGCCATACCCTGGAAGATTTGGGACCTCACTGGCAATGCGAGTAGCAGCGACCCTTTGAAGCCCAAGCGCTGATCAGCTAATATAGGGGCCTTAATAGCTAGAAAGCATACGATAACTAAAATAAGGAACCAGCAAACATAGTATAGGTAATTCTTACATTACGACTGCACGCACTTCCTTCAGGTTCCCGACCGCTTCGCCAGACGGCGCAGCGCGGGCCAGCGATGCAAGCAGAGACAGGCGCCACATTGCGGGAGCCCTTTGCAAGACCCAAGCGCAGGTGAGCTGCTTGGTATGAAACCCTCGAGAGCCAAGAATGGCAACGAATGGGGGTTTCCGAAAATAGGGGACCCTAATATAGCACCCTAAGTAATAGGATCCCTATTATAAGGACCCCAAAATAAGGTACCCCTTATTTTGGGATACTCCCGAATGGTCACGCCAAGATTGAACGGCGAAGCGACACCAGAGCCATGGCAGAGCGACGGCAAAGCTAGAGCGACTTGGATGCGTCACTGGCTGGGGCCCGAGCTCCTCAGGCCGGCATTCTTGGAGACTTGAACAGACGTGGCCGTGCCGAACGCATGAGGTCCGAAGCCAGTTTGAAGGGAATGCAACGTAACAGTTGAAGCTGAACGTCGCAAGCCTTAGGCCAAGTCAGGACAAGGGATCTTACCACAGACGCTTATGCAGAACGTGACTGAAGCATACGTTTCACAGATGCACATGAAACTCTACAGACCTCTTGAGCCAATACGAAACTGCCAAACACGAGGAGCGAGACATGCTTCGAAAAAGGTGCGGCTGAGCTGCATGTCCCGCAACAGTTTTGCTACGGTTCAGGCTTCTGGGCCTAGGGTCTGTCCCCCGACTTGTGGGCACCTCACAGCATCTCACAACAATCCAAGACCCGGAGACCCAGATCTGGGCACAAGCACTAAGTTTCACTAAATTTCACTAACCTCACGCACCGGACCCGACCTCGTCCTGCGACGGCGGCAGGTCTCCTCCTTTAGGCCGAGATGCAGATCCAACAAAGGCAGGAACATCCCTCCTTCCAGATTCCTGAGCCCTTTCCCCCAGGAACCAACAACAGAAGTGGATACAGTATTGACTTGTCACTCGTCACAAGGCGCTGGCTCCTAAACACCCCTTCGTCCGCAGGCTGGGCACCACGAGAACAAGACGGAACTCCTGATGATGGAACTTCCGGAGCGATGGGGATACCTGCGCACAGGCAGTGCCCCACTGGAAGTGTCGATTCCTCGCATGTTCGATGGCAGTGCCAGTTCCATGGTGCAGGCGCGGAGATCGTCGCATCAACAACCGAAAAGCACACTGTGGATGCTGGGCCCGACTCCAAACTAGCCACTTCAACATAAGACCCTGACCTTTAGGAACCTGAGAGGCCCTTGAAGCTGACAACTTCAGAGACACTTGCCTGCCATGATGTCTCGCTGAACCACCCGAGCAGCAGTCATCCCTTTGAAGGCATACTTTTGCAGGATGACCTGAGAAGCGGAGTAGGCGCCTATGGTACACCGTCTGCTATAGTCAAAGACTTCGAGTTCGGATCCTCTTGTCAGAACGGAGTCCCTGGACATGAATGATCTACAACTTGCCTCACGGCCCCTCTTCGATGTAGGCAAGAAGCTCACGATGAGGCGGACCAGACAAGCACTGCTCCGAGGTTCGCACCAAGCCATCTGCTTCGGCTTGGCGCCGGTCTCCCTAGCATGCTTTTGAGGGCTTCGATCAGCTCTGGAACCAGCCCGACGCAGACTGTTCGAACACTCCGCATGATTCTGTTGGGAGTTTGCAGCTGCGTCCTGGACCTCTGCTGGAACTCACGTGTGGAATAGAACTGAGCAGACCTGAGTGTCTACCGCACTGTTCGTCAGAATCCCTGCTTCACGACCCTGGTCACCTGGCGCCAGGTTCCTGAGACTTCCAACATCTTCTGACCTCATCGGCATGGCTTCCGAGAGTTACAGACCAAGGTTCGACCGATCCAAACGGAGGGATGTATGCACACATGTGTAGGTGTGTGTGTGTGTGTCTCTGTCTGTGTGTGTGTGTGTGTGTGTTTGTGTGTTTGTGTGTGTGTGTGTGTGTGTGTGTGTGTTTTGTTCACTTGTTTGTTTCGTGTGCAGACATTCACATCACTCTAGGTGCCTGTACGTACACCTGCACACATGCACACACTGTTGCCATCTACTTGTAGACGCCTTTGTGTTCTCACATGACTCCCGCAGAACCTCATTTACACTCGACGTGTGCGAAGACCATGAATGAGAAAGCCACTCCGCACATCGTCCATCACGTGGCAGATGCACCGATACCGCCTCAGACCACAAGGCAAGGAACATGGCGTGCGGCCAGATCACGAACGGCTTCAGTGCCAACACAACTGCTCCTTTCCAGTCTTGCAGGTTTAATGCGCCCAGAAAGTTCGTGGATGGCTGTGGCGAAAGCCCTGCAGGCATGGCACATCTCCTGGCTCTTCGGAGCGGGCTCAGCCTGGCCCAAGACTGTCCCCGTTATGTCTAAGTCTGATCTCTTTCTGCAAACCTGTCCACATGTATCTGCACTCTAAAAACGGACTTAACTATTCTTATATGGTCTGGCGCTCTGCCCCCCCGCGTGCTCGATTTGCGATACTCTCCGCAGACACAAAATGTGGGAAGCCCGTGCCTCCAGTTCCAAGCCACCAACTCCTGCCAGTCACAGGAACATCCAAGCACCACACACCAGAGCTCAGCTAGAGTCTTCCACGGATTGCATGTTACAGCTAGGAAGGCTAGCAGAAGCGGCATACGGGACATGCACTTCAGGTGTGCCTGAAAGACAACGTAACAGGGCTCAGTCCAGCAAAGCAATGAAATCTAATTCGTAAGTGTCAAAGAAGTCGGATGACTGGAACGAATCCCCACCCTTGCCGGCCTTTGCATTTTCGCAACAAGTCGGTGAAGGTTTGCCTTGCGTTGGCCTGATGGCTGCAGTTCAACTTTTGAAATTCTGGGGCTTGCATGCAACGTGATGCCGTGGTACTGGCACTGCTGTAACAACTGTTGCTGCTTCGCGCTTTTGCGACATACTCCAGATACCTTTCACGCAAGACAGGTACATGATCCAAGGCTTGTCGGTACAGTGGCGTCCAGAGGTGTAAGGTTCTCCGTCTCAGTTCAGATCGTGGACACCAACGCCTACGTCCTTGGGGAGGACGAGAAGCGGCTCGCAATCTGCTGGCAGATTCGCCTCTGGAGTGGTCTTTGTCTTTCCCTGCTGCAGCTCGAGAACCGTGCGGATGTCCATCTGCCAAGCCGTAACAGTTTCACCAGTCCACTAAGTCACGGATGTCACATTAGTGATCCAAGACACCTGAGAAGTTGTTGTTCTGAGTGCGAAGCAACCTCTCGATTCTTGCATGGTCTTCTTTCTGTGCAAACGTCAGCGCTGTTTGGCCGTCATTATCCGCCAGGTCCTTGTCAGCACCAGCAGCCAACAGCAAAGTCACAGCCTTCCTCCACCCTCTGAGAGATGCCTGCATAAGAGCCGTGCGTCCACTGTCGTTGGCAAGGTCTTTGTCTGCCCCTGCATCCAAGAGCAAGCGCACCACCTCCTCGTGGCCTTTGCTTGCGGCGCAGATCAGCGCCGTGTCGCCGTCGTTGTCCGCCAGGTCCTTGCTCGCACCGGCTTCTAAGAGCAGCCGTACGATTTCCACGTGGCCTTCGTTGGCTGCACAAAGGAGAGCCGTGTCGCTGTCATAGTTGGCCCAGTCCTTGTCAGCACCAGCTGCGACCAACAATCGTGCCATCTCCACGTGTCCTTTTCCACATGCGCAAATGAGTGAAGTGTCACCACGGTAGTCGGCAAGATCTGGGTCAGCACCACCATCCAGCAGCAAACGAATCACGTCCATGTAACCCCGGAGAGACTCGTTGATAAGGGCTTGCCAAGCGTGCTGGGACAAATCTTTGTCGGTGCTGGCCTGCAGGACCAAGTTCACCGTCTCGACAGTTCCTCGCAGGCATGCCTGAATGAGCGCTGTGCGACCCTTGCAGTTTGCTACGTTTGGCTGCGCACCGGACTCGAGCAGCAGACGCACGATGTCCGAGCGTCCCTTGCCAGCTGCACAAATGAGTGCAGTGTCCCCGTCCTTGTCCGCTGCGCCCTCTGCGGCACCAGCCGCAAGTAGCAAACGCACTGTTTCCACGTTGCCTTCATTGGCGGCGCAAATGAGGGCTGTGTCGCTCGCACTGTTCGGCCTGTCCTTGTCAGCACCAGCGTCCAAGAGCAATCGTACCATTTCTACATCACCTTTGCCAGATGCGCAGATCAGAGTGGTGTCGCCGTCGTTGTCAGCCAAGTCCTTTTCGGCACCCGCCTCCAAGAGCAGCCGGGCGGTCTCCACATATCCTCGCAGAGCCGCCTGCATGAGCGCTGTCTGGCCAGCATCGTTTGCGAGGTCCTTGTCTGCACCGGCCTCCAACAACAAGCGGACGATCTGCCCGTGGCCTTTGCTTGATGCACAAATGAGAGCGGTATCACCGTCGTTGTCTGCCAGGTCCTTGTCAGCACCTGCCTCCAAGAGTAGCCGGGCAGTCTCCACGTGGCCTTCGTTCGATGCACAAATGAGGGCGGTGTCGCTGCCATAATTGGCCCAGTCCTTTTGGGCACCTGCCTGCAGCAGTAACCGGACAATGTCGGTGTGCCCCTTGCCAGATGCGCAAATAAGGGCCGTGTCGCCATCGTTATCAGCCAAGTCCTTGTCCGCACCAGCTGCCAAGAGCAAGCGCGCGCTCTCCACAGAGACTCCCAGACCGCACAAGGACGCCTCTATCAGAGCTGTCCGACCATTTTGCTTCGCCAGATGGTGGTTGGCATTCGCATCCAGGAGCAGACGCACGATTTCTGCCTGGCCTCTTCCAGCTGCGTAAAGAAGAGGGGTCTGGGTGTCCTTGTCAGCTACATCGGTGGCAGCAGCGACCTCCAAGAGTAGCCGCACCGTCTCAGCAGAACCTCGGTAACATGCACTCATCAGGGCGGTTCTCCCGCTGTCGTTCAGCAAGTCCGTGTCAGCACGGGCCTCAGTCAACAAACGCACAACGTCGACATGTCCCTTGCTGGACGCGCAAATGAGAGCTGTGTCTCCATCGTGATTGGCCAGGTCTGTGTCAGCGTAGGCCTCCAGCAACAAACTCACTGTCTCCATGTTGTTTTCGAGTGAAGCAAGAATGAGTGCTGTGTCAGCAGCATTGTCACCCAAGTCCTTGCCGGCACCCGCCAGCAGGAGCAATCGAACGGTCGCTGCATAGCCTGGTATAGATGCCTGTATCAGGGCAGTGCGGCCGGCGTAATTCGCCAAAATCTTGACAGCACCTGATTCCAGCAGCAGCCGTACTATCTCTACGTGGCCGTTGCTGGCAGCACACATAAGTGCAGTGTCACCGTCTCTGTCAACTAAGTCCATCTCTGCGGCAGCCTCCAGCAGCAATCGAAGAGTCTCTACATGACCTTCGCTGGCTGCACCGATCAGAGCCGTCACGCCGTTGGGATCAGGCAAGTCCTTCTCAGCGCCGGCTTCCAGAAGTAAACGTGCAGTCACTTCATGACCTCCCAGTCCTGCCATGACAAGCGGTGTCCGGCCAGACTTGTCTGCCTGGTTCGGATCGAGGAGGCTTTGCAGCATCTCTTCAACTTCGAAGATACTGCCACTTGCTGCTGCAGCTGTCAGCTTGCGAGCTTGCTCCTTCGAGGCCTTAGCAAAGTTGAACAAGATCAGCTGCAAGTCGCAGGGCTCGTCCAACTTATCGTCGTCCTCCAGGCTGCTGCCATCCCGCAGGAGCTGCTGCCGGAAGACAGAGAACCCATGCAGCTTCTGCAACTGCTGCTTCACCGTCTTAATGTTCCAGACATCGTCCAGGGACACCTGAGCCAGCTCTTCCTCTGCAGCGCCAAAGATGCGCAGCATTGCGGAAGTCGCAAGATCGCTTTAGTCCCATTCCGCTCGGAGTCTGCGCTTGTCCTGAACGGACAAAAAAGGCCACAAGGGCGTCGAACGAACATGGTGCCCGGAGCCTTCCCCACAACCGGGCAAGGAGACCTGTGCTGAAAAGCCCTACACTTACTTGTGCAACGCTAGGCTTCGTGCACCTTGCAACCCAAAACTGTGAAAAGTCCAACCACTCTCTTCTTGGGCCAATGCAAACCAACGGAACATCGACTCAACTTCGCAAACCTCTGGAAAGAGAGACGTGGGGTGCTATGATTTCGTGGCTTTGGCGCTGACTGCTAGATCTTTTGACGATGAGTGCCAGCCATCACGCGAGACAATCAAGCAAGAGCAGACTCTGATAACACTGCTGGCAACAATGTCGCTTCTACTGTCTTGTTTTACATAGTCTTGTAAGACACGCTTGTGCTGACCTCTTAATATCAAGAGCGCCGGCATCCGGGTATAGCCAGAGCACAGAGAGTTAGTTGGGGTCTGCTGCTAACAACCGCACTGGGCAGCACTAATCTAGCAAACCAGAAGCTCGCTTGAAATCCGAAACTCGGAGTGCATCCTCCAGTTCTCGGATTCGAGGAGAGCAGGTTTTGGGAATACACAAGTGCCACACCCTCTTTCGACCCCAACCAGCTTATCCGTGGCACTGCCAAGCCTCCGGAGGTTGGTTGAGATGGAGGGTCCTGGCCTCGGCAGAGAGCAAGAGATGCTTTGAGGCTGAGGAGACTGCAGGCGTGAAGACGAGCGCCCTGCTGCCTCGAGAAGCCTGCCCACCATCGAAGTGGCTTCCTCGGGGGAGCGAGGGAAGACCCGTCGATTGAAAGCGCGTCTGCTCTCATGCTCTGCCAAGCGCACAGTACTAGTTATCCAGTACGAGATGTTCAATTTTGCCCCCATGGCTGCACCAGCTTTGCAGTTTGAAACTCCCGCACTTCTTTGCGGCCCTAACCCCGTTCTATGTGAAGATCACACTGTTCCGAGGAGTTTAGGGGCTTTGAGATCGGGCCACCCACGCTGCTCACTCTGAATTTTCTGGGAAAGACGCCTGAATAGCATAGCCGGGAGAGCATCATGGATCTTCGGCCTCCTCCCTCCCTCCCCTCGCTCCCTCCCTCCCTCCCTCTGCCCACACGCCGTCAACTCCCAACCCTTAAACTTCCAGCCCACAGACGAGGAAGCCAAAAGCCTCTGCACACGGCCACTGAGGACCACTCTACTCCTCGAACAGCCTCCTTGAGCTGTTCACCATCCTGAGATGCCTGGCTCTTCGAAGGCTTCGGGCTGTGCATCAGGAGTTTGGGGCTGCAACATACGAATTGACGGCCTTATCATGCTTCCGGCATCGAAGCACAAAAGCGCTTCTTTGGATTTCTTTAGACGATGCCCACACTTCTTGGGCAAGAAAACCACCTTTAATGCTGCGGAAACAATCGAGACTTGAATGTTAAGCCGGGGATACAAGTCCCCCTGGCAGAAATACAACAACGCAAGATTGGTAAACATGACACAGCACCGAAACCAAACACAAGAACAGTCCGACTCCCCAGCAGTCAGTGGTACCCAGCAACCTGTGACATGTTGGAAAGTACGTTTTCCAAAAGACTTCGGTCGGAACTCTTACTCGGTTGACCTCTTCATAATCTCCTTAAGTTGTTCGTCTCTTTCAACAATCTATGCAGACGCGTATACTCTCAGGCCATGTATGGTGGGAAAGGAGGGCAGTACCCGGACCGTTGTCCCAACGTGCACAAAGTCCCTGCATCCTTGCTCGAGCATCGTAAAACTGTGCCCGAAGCCTTCCCGACATCACCAGAACCTCCTGAATGGGAACCTCCAACAGGACCACGTCCATACTTCAGAGGTCCCATTTCTTCGGTGGAACTTCCCCACCCGGACCCTAGCTGCCCGAAACTTCTCTGGAGTGAAAGAGAACATGTCATCACCAAGAGCATCATCCTCTTCTTCTTCAAACTCGATGCCCTGAACATCAGCATGTCGTCGTGGCGGCCATCATCAACATCATCAAATTCATCACGTTCATTGCATTCATCGTATTTATATTCACCACTCTCTGCTTCATCATCGACTACAACATCGCGATCATGCCAGCTATTGTCAAAAACTCTAAGATCAGAAACAGGTTCTGAAACAGCAATCATCAATAGGCCCTTCTGTCCTTCCAAAATGATCCAGGCCCCCGAAGGTCGGAGTCGCACTCTTCTGTTCCGTTGCTACATGCCTCTTAAGCTCCCATCTGCTTCCCCTAAACCCTAAACCCTAAACCCCTAAACCCTAAAGGCATATCAGCATCTCGAGCTCTGCTCAACGAAAAAAACCGGAGCGCCTGCCGGGGATTCCGCTGCCAGGGGCCCCAGACGAGCCGCTCGCAGCGAGCGCTTGCAGGCAAAGGCCGCCGAAGCGAGGCTGGAGCAGAGCTGGGCGCTTACACGTACTATTATATACATGTATGTGTGTGTATACATATATATATATATATATATATAGGTATATACACAAGTATATTGACTTATGTGTTGTTTTTTTTGCTTGCTTTCGTAGTTAGCTATTTCTATGTATGTCTATCCGCTTCTTCATCCCTAGTTTATCTATCTATCTATCTGTCAATCTATCTGTCTATCTGTCTATCTGTCTATCTATGTTTCTATCTATCTGTTGATGTGTTGATAATGTTTAAATCATTGTCATTAGTGTCATGAGTAGTCTTATTATTGTTGTTAATGTCATTTCTGTTATTAGCTTTTATATCCTTATTACTGTTACCAGTATTCTTATTCTTGTTATTCGTATTGCTCTTAATGTTCTTATTATTCTTATTATTCCTACTGGTCCTGGTTTTCTCACTATTCTGAATAATGGTTAGGATTGATATTCTTACTACTGCTGTTACCATTATCGTCATTACTGTGACTCTACTTCATACATACATACATTCATACATACATACCTACCTACCTACCTACCTACCTACCTACCTACCTACCTACCTACGTACGTACCTACGTACATATATATATATATACATATAGATAAGTGTGTATGCATATATATATATATATGTGTACACACATATGAATGAATGCATGCATGCATGCATGCATGCATGCATGCATGCACGCATGGATGGATGGATGGATGGATGGATGGATGGATGGATGGATGGATGGATGGATGGATGGATGGATGAATGGATGGATGCTTTCAGGAGTTTACGTGACAGATGGACAGTTACATACATGAAGAGCTGAGCACAGTCACCGAGTCCATGGCTGGAACCCTCCTGATGATGATGGCGACGATGATAACGACATGAAGACGAGGGCGCGGCATCACCATCGTGAGGCCGCTTGTGGCAATACAGGCGGGGGCGGCTTAAGCAATGATGATGCCTATGATCATGACGATGATGACAGTGATAACGTCTACTACTACTAACCGCAGTGGCCACTATCGTATCCCATGTACTAGCAGTGGCCAATTGTCTGGTTCATGCTGCCCTGTACCAGTAGTCACAACGCCGACAGGAGTAAAACGATGCAACATGGATTTGGAAAACAGAACTACTGTAAATTTCCCAAGAAACCATAGTGAAAACCATGTCAACAGCGGCCCGTGACCGCTAATCGCTTCTCACTGCCAGGAATGCATGACCGATCTGTGACTGATGGTGCAGAAGACGTAGCTGAATGACAGTGACGGCACAAAAGGGACAGGATAGCAACTACAAAGCCCTTGTCTTGTCCCTTCTTACTTGCCACTAGCCAAGGCCATAAAGCGAAAAGATAAACCTTTGTGTGTCATTTCGGAGACGATGCCTCCGTCAATGTCCCTGTCATGGTAAGGGGACGTCCTGAAGCGACCTTAATAATTTTGACTAAACCCTAAACCCTAAACCCTAAACCCTAAACCCTAAACCCTAACTACTTTCGCAAAAGGCGGGTTCGCCTCGGAAGAGGCCTTCCTGAAGATTCTGCTCCATCTCGACGGTTGGCCCGGCAGGACCCTGGCGGTCTGAAGTTTCAAAGCGGGTTCCCTGGCTCTTTCTCTGCCGCATGGACACCGATACACAATATGCAGCAATGCACACACAGAGATAGATAGATCTATATCTTCCGAGATTGGGACTGGTTGGGTGGTTGAGGCCTCCGAGCAACCGTTCTGCATGTTATGGGTTTAGGCTCACGGTTAAGGCCGGCTTGGGGGGAGGGAGAAGTGGGGAAGGGGAGGGCATATATAGAGAGCGATTACTCAACATAGGTAGGTTCATAAACATATACAAGTCTACACGATAGGCAGATTTTCCCGCTGTCCTCCGAACTGTTGAAGGTGGCGTCGTATATCTGTGACACAGCAAGTGCATGCATGCACCGTGACACAGCTACACTTACAAAACGTAATTAAAGCTGGCACCGCCCGCGGTGCTCCCTTTCAAAAGCACCCGGGCCGGCACCCAGGCTGTAAACAATTGTCCAGAATTTTGGAGGAAGCTACGCACTCATGGCCGCTGATCGAATTCAGGCAGTTCGCAACGGCAACGTCACTAAGACTTCATCGTTTCTGGAATGCGTTAGCTACGACAACACTACCGTCCCTTTCTCAAGCGGCTTGACCCGAGCGTAATTCCAACGAGGATCAACGAGCAAAGGCTTGAAATTGATCGGCAAACCCGCCAAAGACAGTTGATAGCTGCGAAATGCAAAAGATCCAAGCACCCGGTGGAGCTATGCTTCTGCAGATTAGCTTCGGGTGGGAAAATTACACGGACATGCAAGGCACGGTTGTGACCATGTCACACTCTCAAGCATGGCATCGATTTACCAGAGAAGTGTGCATCAAGCACAGTGTGAAGAGCTAGGGAGTCTAGCCGATTCTAGCCTGACTCAGGAGCATCGCTCGGGGTGAACAGGCGCTGCACAAATGCGAAGATGCCTGCTTCCTCAGCAGCAGTGTCGCAGACACACTTCGAAAAACGCCGGAGGCAAAGAAACAACGGGAGTCAGTACCTTAGGAGTCTGAAACCCTGACTGGCGCCTGAGCCTCCTCCAGCCGTTGCCTCCGTTCCTCGCGCCGTTGCCTGCGGCGCTCCTTCTCCTTCTTCTTCTCCTGTGCACTGCTTGCTAGATACTAGATAAATGTACCGAACAAGTAAAGAAAAAGGGGAAGCAAAGCGAGACAGCGTGGGTGACAGAGGAAGAGAAAGCCATGCACCAGCAAGCCACAAGCACAATAACGAAAAGGCGGACAGAGAGAACAAAACAAACAAGGTGAATGCAGACGTGCGAGTAAACAAAACGCACATGTAGGCGTCATGTTCGTACATGCATACCTGCATACCTACCAAAATAGATGAACCAGGCAGACACAAAGATTAATGGACTGACAAACTGAAGAAAAGCAGACAGACAGATGCACGAGGTGGCTCACACTACAATGACTGTTGGTGCAGAAATCGGCCCTTACCCAGGGGCCGACAACTGCCTTGTTCTGGAGGCGTGCGTAACCATGTATTCAAGGCCTGGTAAGTGTTTCTTGAGAAAGGGGTAGACACTCATCCGGGGCCGATTAGCGTTTTCTTGCCAAGGCATCACCACTTATCCGAGGGCCGGCAAGCGCCGGTTTGGCTACGAATGCGTCTGTCTTTCCAACAACCTAGATCTACATAACATAAGTGGTCTAGTCGGCCAATTAAAGCTTCAGGCTTGTATATATCTAAGCCTCTTAAGTGCCTAGTCTTGGCTATGAGCGACGACCGAAAAATCTGACACACATTGCCCGTTGGTTACTGATAGTCGCTGGCTCCGATGCATGAAGGACCACCGGGAGCCTGCTAGGATCTGGAGATGTTGAAAGACGTTTATGATTTCGCAGCTGACTGCCCTATGCACGCGGATGTCGGGAGGTGGCTGCAACACTTTCGGAGATTGTCTGTCTCTGCTGTGATCTGCAAACAAATCGAAGGTCCCGGATTGAAACGGCGATCTCCCCAAGTTGCGGTATGGGACCGATTCCAAAGTTGCAACCCTTCTGCCTCCATCTCCTTTTCCTTTCGGACAGCGTAAGCTGTCCAACCCTCTGGAGGATAACCTGCTACCAGGACGCTTGAGGCATATGAAAAGCACGAGGTGCTAGGGCAGGCATTCTGGAACATCGGCAACACCGAAAAACACTCATCAAGGTGTCAAATCAAGGCGATGCTGTTATGACTGCTCTGTGCCTGCTTTCGACTTATCATGCAAGCCTTCTCGTTGGGCTTTGCTCATCTTCGAATACGCCAGCGGGGTTCTGCAACAGCGCCCATACCTGCGTCTGAGCGTCCATTTTCCCGTCTGACGCTTCTCTCTGTCGCAGGCGACATCTTCGCTGAGGCTCCGACTTCTTGCAGACCTGGCCTGAGGCACGCGGTGCGACGGGACATGAAGCTGGAGCCGTAGCCGAAAAGGTCGACCGCTGGTGGGGATGACGGGCCACACTTCACACTTTACATTCAGATTTTGAGGTGAGCCACACTTGTCAGGCATGTACTGGTCTTTGCCATCGTACTCGAAGTAGTAAGGGCACTTCGGCCTGACCATGCCGTCACAGACTTATTCTGTCGGAAACGCTGTGTGCCAATTTCGTGCTGCAAATGCCTGAATGCGCGCTGTCCCGTGCAGTGAACTACACTAAACCACACTGCTGGCAACAAAGCCGTAACACCATGCTAATGCTTTACAAGAAATGCGTGAGAGCTGCTTGTGGTGATGGTTGCCATGGACCTCGATCACCTTCCGATTTGCGAGGCACTTCCAGCAGAATTCCATTCGGCACGCCGGATTGCCTCGTCTCTTCTTCTTCTGGCAGGCTGCCTCGTCTCTCTCTTTCTCTCTTCTTCTTCTTCTTCCACACAGCCAAAGAACTCTCTCTCTCTCTCTCTCTCTGTTGTTCTTGTTCTAAGGATGAGAAGGTCTCTCTCTTTGGAGAAGCCTTGGGAGGGACCGCAGCAAAAAAACACATTCCACTGGATGGCAGACAGGGCGCCACAGTAGATGTGGTCACAGTCGTCCTCGTTGTCCTTGATGACTGGTTGGAAGCATCCAGGGCACATCTTGTAGCCAAACCTGGGTCTTGAGGTGTGGCCCATTCCGTGCCTACATGTGCCCTGACTTCCACCCTTTCCATGCAATCGAAGTTGAAGTGGGCCTCCCCTCGCACTTTAGTACGAATCGGTCTGGAGGCGGCTGGAGATTCTCGCGGAAGTCGTCGATCTGTTCACCCCTGCAAGTTTGCGTATTCAGTCAGTTCGTCCACTTGGTGAAGGCTGGCAACCTCTGGTCATCGAAAGCTGGTCTCTAGTCTTATCCCAGCTGCGATCTCCAGCAACCACGCTACTCTTGAACGGATGGTCACACTCGCCCAGAAGGCCACTTCCAACCCAGACGAGCCACTTTCGAAAGAACCACTCCAGGTCTTTGAAGAGCTCGAACTCGTCGATGAACTTCTTGCAACTATGGGTCTCCTCGGCTGACTTTTGCTTGGCAGGCCCTGGCCTTCGCAAAAAGTTTGCTAAAATTGCAAGATTTTCCAGCCACGGCTCGAACCATGGCCCCCGGCATGTCACGCAGAAGCGGCCCTGCCATAGAGATTTTCGACACTCCGGTTCATTTACTTGCTTAGCCAATTCCGAACGCAGAGCCGAAGGAACTGGGAAGACAAGAAGTGGGAAGCTCTGTGCCCAAGATCGTCTCCGAAGCTAGGAACATGTTTCTGCTTCCACCACAGGCCTGGCACTTGGTGCAGTCCGCACAAGTCATCCGATAGCCGGGACGTCGCTTGGCGACACCCTTCTCTCCGCAGACCATGCAGTCGACCATCTGGGCAGCCGGTTCTTGACACAGCCGTGAGCCCGCACAACCCCTAAAGCCCTAAAGAAGGCCTCCGGATAGTTTGGCCACGTTGGCTGCGGATCTTGAGAGCTCGAAGCGGCCATGAGCTCGAGCGGGGCGAGGTGTGGGATAAGAGAGGGGAGGGAGCCAGAGACAGCTGAACCAGCTGACCAAGGGAAGAGAAAATCGCTTGCAGCCGTCACTGCCCCTTTGCTAAGTTCTTTCCGACACAGATTGCACCCTTTCATACAGAAATACAGCCACTACAGCATGCAAGTTGCAAAAATGTATCCTGGAAGAACTTCTCCGCACGCTGAACACTTCATGCAGACCCCGCGCCCACCGAGCTCCTCCGAACCGGTACGAGCAGTGGCACTGACACCTGTAGCCGCAACAGGGGGTCTACAGACTCTGCACAGTCTGAGCACATGCACGACTGGGCGGTTGATCGGGGGAGAATAGACCTCGCTTCTCTGCACACGAATCGAATGAAGGTGGGGTATACCGGAATGCAAGCAGGGCCGATTACCGTATGATTACCTCTTTGCAGAAGCTACTGGTGGCCGGCTCTCCCGAGCTTCCCCACATCTCCAGACTTTGACTTTGCAATGTGCAAGGTTGGAATCACACAGGCTTTGAAGCCCAGTGGCCTCCACTCTCCGCATTGGAAGAGCTGGCAGGCTTGGCCTCGGTCTGAGACGGCAGAGGATCACTGTACGCCGCTGTACCAGGCTGTAGCTGCCTAAAGCTCCTGCCCAATCCCCCTAATATAGCACCCCAATATAGTACCCTAATATAGTACCCTAATGCCCAAAGCTGCGTGAGACGCTGGCCTTGTCGGGCGGGCTACCCTTGAAGCCGTTCTGGCTTGACGAGCTGGCGGTGCTGGCACCTGGCTTACCGTGCACTCCAATGGTACACATCCCAGGTATTCCCGAAGGCCACGCGAATGGTGTGCTTTTGGAACAGAAGCGCATCTGATTTCGTAAGATTGCCTCCGATTCCGAACGAATCAAATCCCATCCTTGAGACTCAAACACAGCCACGAGGCAGATCAGAATCAGTCACGAAGCATTGTAAGAGCCGAAACCCGGGCCGCAACTTTCAAGGTCTTCCACAGACGCAAGGACGGTCCGCAATGCTGATGCCGAATAGAGCAAAGCTACGAAGCCGAAGAATCAGAAGCAACCGAGTTCTCCAACGGATAAGAAGTCGAAGCCATGGCGACTATAGCCCAAAACCGTCATTGGATTTCCGAGCTCTCACACCTGGTTTGAGCATTCCAAAGCCCGGAAGTTTGATTGAAACCGCCGACCTATGGGTGCGCTCGTCTTTGCACCTGCCAGAGTCTTGCAAGTTCAGCCGCTTGCGGTTTGGGAAAGACGCTCTTCTCAAGAGACTTACAGGGCCGCTGAACCTCTGTGTTCTACTCGTCGATCGCTTCTCCGCAGGGTCCGTCCGGCCTATGGCTTGTGCTGGCTGTGCAGCTCGGCGAAAATCCTTCAAGCTAAGCAACTCGGGCATTCAGCAACAAGAACGTGGCTTCCGAAAGATTCCCGGTGGCGCATGTCAGGACAAGGCATGTCGGTACCTCACCACTCGATGGCCGGGAAGGCGTGCGGGCAGGCAGAGCAGACCCTGGCACATCGGCAGTGGACTCTGGAACTATCTGCGAGCGGTTTCGCTCCCGGTATCAACAGGCTGCACACAAAAGTTCGCTTTGAAGTTCGCCTCTCGTTGGCGATAGTTCAAGAAGACATGACGAAGACAAGGAGAACAGGCGCGACGCAGAGGTTCCTTGCAACTCCAAGCGAGCACCTGACTCCCGGCCCCGCTCCACGCGCCTCCGATCACCTGCGGTGACCGAAACACAAAACAAAGCTACATGTTCGACAGAGACGTTCGTGCACATCTACTGCCTGCTCACCTCTACCCCTGGCCGGAAGAAACGAAGCTATCTGTGCAAAACTCCTGCTTGGAACTGGGCTGCGGCCCATTGAACTCCACAGCGAGTGAGGGAGGGAGAGGGAGAGAGAAAGAGGGAGGGAAACGGACATCGCCTTGTCGCGGCCCGAAGCAGCAGATGCCGCAGGACCTGCGCATCTGCACGTAGCATCTTAGCCCCCGAAGACACGTAAGTCCTACATTGAACTGCAAAGCCTGTACTGAAGATGGCAATCTAGGCCCTCTGCCTTCACTCGGCCCGGCCAGCGATGTCGGCGGCGGGACATCGGAGAAATTTCCTCGTCAGCTGCAGCTGCCAAATCTGTTGCCGGCCGCTCTGCAAATTGCCGCCCGTGCCACGTCTCTCTTCTCCGTGGGCTAAAACGTGTCGCCAGAACAGTCTTGATGGCAAGTCGTTCTTACTTTGCCAAGGCCCAGCTGCAAGAAAAGCTTCAACCCGAAACCCTGCAAAAGCTGAACCAAAATGAACACAAAATTGACAAAGCCTCTTGCTTGGGACTTCGCTCAATCGCTCACAATTTCTGCGAACGATCCATGCCCATGCTTTGACTTTGCTCGCATGCAGGATATATGCCTCCATAAATGCATAGATTCACCGGTACACACACACACACGCATTTACATATGTACGTATATATAGATATATATGTACATTTATATATATATATATATATATGTATATATACATATACATATATGCATATATGCATATATGCA